CTCAGGGGCTCTTACTGGACCCCGGGCCGCTCACCTCCTGGCCTTGACCACGGCATCGCGACCTGGCATACCAGCGACGGCTGAAGCCGCCTTGGGATCGGGACCTGTCGGCGCAGAGCGCCAAGCCCTCGTGAGGTCCGAAAGGAAGAAACTAAGCTAAGACGGAATAAGCATCTCGCACTGCTTCACGATAAGGATCATATTGACAAACGGAGCTACAGACACCTTACAAGCCCCCACGGGGTGTATTCTTGGCTCCTCGCAGGGACAAAATACGCGTATCCTAAGGAGTCCTAACTACATGAACCGTCGCGGCAGACGCCATCATCAACAGTGGGCCGCCAGGCACCGGCGCCAACCCCATCCAGATCAGAGACGGCGGCGGCCTAACGAGCCCGTCCTGCTCCGGGAGCGGCACAGGCTCGGGGACTCGTAGCTGTCATCGCTCGTCTTCGGAGTCGCGAAGAGCTCGGCGGAGTCGCTGGATCCTCCGGTGCCCTCACCGCTTGAGGAGCTACTGGAAGAACGTGCGACGGCAGGCCTGGTCCTTGCCGCTCCGGGGCTTCTGCCGCTGCCTCCGGGACAACACTCCAGCCGACGCCCATCTTCGTCGAAGACCTTGAAGAGCATCATGGAAGCACCGTCAAACTCCAGGTGGATCACGAGGGCGCCCCTCGTCCTGCAAACCCGGGCGATCTCGCCCCAGCCCCGGGTCATGAAGACCTTACCTGGAGCGACGACCTCGACATCCGCATCGGTCGCAGGAGTCTGGCAATCGGCGTGCTGCAGCCAGAGCCTGAAAGGCCCCCTTGACGGAATCTCAAAGGCGAAGAAAGGAGGAAAGCGAATCCAAGATCGAGGAGGCATGGCGGCGTGGAGAACAAACTCTCGGGAGGAGCCCTCAGCGTGAACTCCAGGAGGGACAACGCGCACCGCCGTGACCCGCCGGCGCCGACGGCGGCGGCGTCCATGGCGCTCGGCATCAGCTCCTGCAGGGCCCTCAAGGTGGGCGTACAAGGGCAGCGGAAACCCTGGCGGCGGCCGCTCACACCAAGGCCTCGACACCTCCTGCCGCACGCCCTCATCTCTGCGGCAAAGGACCAACCGCTTCTTTGGCGGAAGCGGGTCGGGGCCCTCTCGGGGGGCCTTTCCCTTCTCTTCTGCGGAGAACCGGCGTATCGGAGCCATTGCGGCAAGGCGGAGCAGTGGCGAAGATGAAGAAGAGGAGAAGTAGCAGAGGAAGATGAACTGGAATGGCTCGCGCCGTTCCGTACTTATAGCCAGGGGAGGCCAACCGTCGACTTCCACGATCGCAAGTAATCATGACCAGTTTTTGCATGCAGAGACTTGTCAGTTCGTGCAGTTGCCGAGGTGTCGTGGGGGAGCGGAGCCGCCCACGTCCAATCAACCGCCACGCGGCGCCCGAGGCCGCAGGCTGTTAGGGCCCGCGACGCTTCGCACTTGCCCCTTCGCTTCTTTGCTCAGCCAAGTCCGGGCGCGCCTTGGGCCCGGGGGCTACTGTCGGCGTTCTGGAAACGGGGGTCCCCAGACTTGCCTGCCTGCGGCCTGCGGTGTGGCTCAAGGGGCGGCCCAGCATGGCCCATCTTCATCAGCACGAGCTCAAGACCCTCGCGAGGGGCCAAGCCTCGCGGGGTGGACGACAGGAGGCTTCCTCAGGCACGGCCTCGTCAGGCTGGCTCGCGAGGAGGCGGAGAGATCAAGGCGGGGTACCTCACGAGGTGCCCATGACGCAAGCCATGACGACCAAGGGCGCCAGGCGGGCGCCAACCCGCGCAGTGTCCTTCTTTCCTCTTTGGTGCAAAGGAAGCAAGCGCAGGCGAGAGCATCAAACAAAGGCATCCATTTCGGTGCAACAAGACCAAGACCAGCAGAACGACAGGATGGAGGTCATCGTGGAGCCCAAGCCGGCGTCACCACCAGAGCCTTTGGCAGGCGAGGACCAACTTTAGTCAGGATAAGTGTACTAGATGTTCCCCTTCAAAATGGCCAATTCTTGGCGCCCTTCCCGCTCAATATTTGGGAAGAGGCCCAAGGCCTTTGCCTATAAATAGGACTAGCCACCACAAGGTAAGAGGAGGGATCGAATCACAATGGACCGATCGATCGAGAGAGCGACTGAACTCCCCCTAGTAGTTCATCGCACCAGCCAAGAACAGACCCTCGCGAGGCTGTTCTTCCTTGTATTGTTCATCATCAGCCCAAGAGACAATCCACCACACCACACACTGGAGTAGGGTATTACACCACAATGGTGGCCTGAACCAGTATAAACTCTGTGTCTCTCGTGTTGTTCCTTTGATTGCTTAGATGATAGTGAGGCGGTGAGGTGCAGGTAGGCAGAGGGCGAAATCTCCGCGCGCACGCAGTGTTCGAATCTAAAGGGTCTGCCGGAACCCGAAATCCGACACACCCCCTCTAGTCGACCATACGACCCTTTCACCAATGTTGCCACAAGTTGATCGGGTCGCAACATGATGATCGAAGCTCGTTTGCACAGGCCATTGTTCCTCACATAAGAAACAATGGTTCTTATGCTAGGATGCCTCCCTAGAGTCCAACAACAGCGATGATTTATCAAAACCAAGATGAAGCTCGACACGAGAGTGAGCAAATCATGAACTGCAACTCCCACTCACTCGAGACCAAAACCCTATCCTAGATGCGTCGAGTGGTCGAGCTGCTTGTTTGTCCATGTGAACACATGTCGTCAATGCCTCAAGGGCATAAGCAATGTTGAAACCTCTTATACCTGACACCATGAATGAGGTTAAAGTAAAACGACAACCATGGTGGGGTGATAACAAAACCTTTCTATGGACTTCCGCAAAGAACTTTGTGGCCCCGGAATTCTGCAAGAATTCTTTCAATGATCACTCTCCGCTTGAATTGATGGGAGCGTAACATACACTTGTGAAGAACACGGTATTGTAGCCGCAATATAAATTGAAGAAGAGTGGTGACAACAAGAATGGATGATAGCAGAGGAGTGAAACGTGATGGTGTATGGTGCAACCAACAAACCTCGCAAGGGAGGTGGAACATTATGATAGGGAGGGAGGCGTTGATAATTATTGGTGGCATAAGAGTTGTTAGATTTGGATCCATTGTTGAGGTAATAACACTAGTGGTGCCTAAACTTGCCATCGATGTTCGCTTTGGTGCCTAAACTTGAAAAATACACCGAACTGGTTCTATAACTTGGCAGTATGGTTTAAATACGGTTTGAATCACGTCTAGATATGTATGTATTGCTGACTAGACATGCAAGCATGGCGCAGGGCCCACTTGCAGTGCAGGGACATACTGCCGAGTGTGCGTCTCAATAACCATCGGGTCTCACCTGTCAGTGCATAGTTGAAATAAACAAAAAAATTGTAAAGCTGAGATTCAAACCAACGACCTGTGAGCCACGAAGGACATGCACCAACCAATTCGCCCATGTAATTTTGTTGTCTTTTACGCACTACAAAGTTTTATATATCCGATACATCCGTGGTTAAATGTGCTGCAGTTAGTGCACCCATTTTCCACATGTTAGTTTTATTAGATTCTAGATTTATTTTTATTACCATTACAATAATTTGCAGAAGTTTTAGAACTAATAAAAGCGAAATAGAAACTCACACGTCGAAGGGTCACATACAAAAGGAAAAATAACTAATATTTTAAAAAGGACCACATGATATGTTTTTAAAACATGAATATTTTGAAAATTGATCAACATTTCAAAAATGTATAATTTTTAAAAATTTCAAAATTATTTTATTACATGTGTGAAACCTTACAAATATTATGAAACCATCTAATTAATTAGTTTGTATTATTTTAATTTTGTGAATATTTCAAAAATTTGAGGGGCCCTTAACTATTTATTTAATATTGTGACTATAGTTTGAATATTTTTCTAAAAAACGAAAAATAACTAGCATGTGGAAAATTGGTCGCACTGATTGCAGTCTACTAGTTCGCTAGATAAAGGTAAGCGATGCCTTATATTCAACTTACTTCCCCTGGTCATGTGGTTTGAGCAGGTCCTTCGCAGCCCACAAGTCGCCGGTTCAAATCTCAGCTGTGCTTCATTTTTATTTATTTTGGTTGTGCATTGACATGTGGGACCAATGGTCATTTACACGCACTCTTTCCCGTGCCAGCTGGCATGTCTAGTCAACAATACATACGTATTTGAACCGTATTTGAACCATACCGTCAAGTTATAAAACCAGTTCGGTGTATTTTTCAAGTTTAGGCACCAAAGTGAACATCAATGGCAAGTTTAGGCACCGCTGGTGTTATTACCTCTCCATTGTTTCAAATATGTTTGACTAAACCGAAACAGAACAATTTAATGTAAAATCTAGTCCCTATGCACCTTTTTGGACCCTAAAAATAGGCATGTGCAATATTTTAATGTCATGGCATGTTGAGTCCCAAGGGAAACAAACACACAAGAATTTAAGAATTGGATTTACAAATGCTCCACGAGCATTTTACAAGAATTTAATGACATAGAAGGTTTAGGCAAGACATTTTTTTCCGCAAGAGGTAGCTCGTATTATCTCCAAGAAGATTATGGATTGTTCCATTTCATATGAATATCGGATGACTTCCGCAACATATTCCAATCTTCCGGAGTGCATATAAGTCCTGTCAATTGAGATTGTCAAGCCAAAGAGGCCCTCCAATTGCAAGCATGTAAATAAGTCTGACCGCGTGTTGCACGAATATTGGTGTTGATCAATCTGTGATTTCGATTGGCATAGCAAGGAATGGCGTGCCTCCAATTCTAGTGGAGAATGTATATCTTGCTTTGTACTACAAATGTATATTGCACAATTTGCCACAAGATCTTGCTATGTGTACTTGTGTAGTTTCTACGGTACTACACTGAAGACTGAAGAGTCCAAGCTTTTCACTCAACTTCAGCGGAGGAAGGCAAGCTGTTTTGCCAATCCATGCATATATACGCTTGGGTCTCACGGTTACTTGGCTTCCTCAAGCTCCCCCTCCATTCCCGCGTCCTCGAGCTCCCTCAGCCCTCCGACCCTCTGCTCGATCTCCTCAAGCAGCTCCTCCCTCAGCAGATCCCCCCTCGCCGTCGCCTCGATGTCCTCTTGCTGCAAATTAAATTCAGCATTGCAACATAGCCACACATTTCTTCAGCACAACAGTAGATTAATTTTGTGTCGACCGTTCGATTTGCCTGAATGTTCTTTCAACTGAATGGCAAAATAGAGGGAAGAGGCTGCATGCATACCCGGTCGTAGTACCAGTGCACGGTGCCATCACCCCCTTGCCCCCTGTAATACTCGCTGTCGTAGAATGGATCCTGTCAATTCATACAACAAGTGCCGCGTCACGAACACGATCTAAGAAGATGATTAATTTCAACAACTCTGGAGATCACTGATGGGGATTGACGTGCTTGCCTTCATGGACGCGAAGAAGCAGACGCCCCAGACCGTGAACATGGCGTAGAACGTGTCTACCCGAACAAAAAGATGAACAAAAACGACGTAAGTTTCAGACATAACTGAAGTTGCATCCGTGCAAGAAGCACAAACAGAAGTCTCACAGAAGCTCTTGATGGCCGTGTCGCTGAGATGCCATATGGACTTGGTGACCACCCAGTCCCTCTGGTTGTCGACGTGCTCCACCATCGTCACCATCAGCGGCACCACGTCCAGCGGGAACGCCCTCGCCTTCAGCGCGTCGCCCCTCCTCCCGGCTGGCCTCTGCACTAGGTGCACCGTCGCGGGGCAGCTGCCGCCATTTAGGCCGCTGCTTCTCCCGGACGGCAGAGCGGAGCAGTGGGAGTGTGGCTTCAGCAACGACGACGCCATTGCTGCTAGGTTGCTAGGTAGCCAGTGAGTTTGTCGCTGGGGCGAGCTGAGGGGAGCCGCTTGTAGGGTGGAACAATTTTTTTGGGTGGATAAGGTTTGCGGTGCTTTGGGCGGCCAGGTATTTTTCCTCAAGCGTATTCACAAACATTTTGGGGGACATACGTCGTTCGGCCAGAAACGCTGGGCCTGGTTCGATGGGTTCAAGTAGGCTTGGGCATCGTGGGCTCAGAACGGCCAATCTTTAGTTTACTGCTGAACATGGTTGTTCGGCCTTTAACCCCTTTTCCGGATAAGGTATCTCACCCTTTTTGTCTCAAAAAAAAGTATCTCACCCTTTTCATTACTTTGATAACGGAAATACAAAGTATGAGAAATGACCAAGGAATTAATGGTGAAAAACGGTTTGATGCACTTATGGAAACCCATTGAGTTCCACTACAGGCTTGAAAACGCCCAAGCTTCAACAAGTGCATCAACACAAATAAAACAAAGTCTGGTGTGGTGACCTGCAACGTTCGAAGACTCCTCATCGCCACCTTGAGCAAAATATAACGGGAACGGCTATGTATTGTTGTTCCCGAGCCCTATTTAGCGCCTTTTGCACCACTTCAATGGTAAATGGTATAGGCGCACACCCCTGTGTACACAGTTTCTAAGTGGGCCAGCCCATTAGGGTAAACCTTCCAACCTTCCATGTTTTTACTTTTTTTTTCTGTGCGCCTTTTTCTTCTATTTTCTTCCCAATACGGGTTTTGCGGGTTTTCTAGTTTTCCTTTACTTTTTCATTTATTTTTTTCAATTTCATTTTGTTTTAACTTTTTTATTTTTTTGCTTTTATCAAATTCGTGTAATTTTCACAAAGTTGTGGGTTTTCAAATTTGAAAGCTTTTTCTAACGTGAACCTTTTCGGAAGTGAACCTTTTTCAATTTTTGGGAACTTTTTTCTAAAAATTGATG